AAAAAAAAAAAAAAAAAAAAAAAAATGTTTGGAATACATTAAGTGTTCTTAGACGAGCTGAACCGCCTGCTTTGTCCCAATTACAAATACAGGAAACAAATTAAACAGCAGAAGAGACAAACTAGCAAACAACGGAGGAAGCTAACACCCGACCCCACTGAGGCAGACCTTCTGCTCTGCCATTGTTACCTGGGCTTTCATGGTGCTGGGGCTGGGACTCAGGGCCTCACACAGGTTAGGTAAGTGCTTTACCACGGAGCTGCACCCCAGCTGACGTCTTCTGTAAATTATGTAGACACTCTGATGAGGACAAATGCCTTGTAGTGATCTACCCTACTTCTCTTTTTCCTTTTTTTTTATTTAACTTGTATTGAATAGGAATAGCCCCATCCACAGGAGCTTACAATCTAGATTAAAAATGTTTTAATTCATACATACTTGTAGCATGTTAAAATGTTAGGAAACACAGAAGTTTATGGAATTAACCTTTAGCATATTGAACACCTCTAAATTTTGTCTAGTTTATTTCATAAGTCACCTTATTTGCTTCCAGTTGAACCACTTAACCTCAGAAATTACTTTTTTTTTTTTTTTTTGAGACAAGGTCTTGTGATGTAGTTCAGGCTGGCCTTGAACTCACTATGTAGCCCAGGCTGGTTTTGTACCCATGGAGACCCTCCTGCCTCCTGCTGGGATTACCACTGTGAGACACTATACTCTGCCTGAAGTTGTAATTACATCCAGGAAGGACATTGCATATTGGTTTATCTTACAGTCAATTTGAGGGAGATGTCTTTTTTTATTCATGTATACACAACAAATGTAAATGCTTGTTCAAAAAAATGATGCTGAAGAAGAGGGCAGCACTGTTAGTCAATAGTAGAAAGTAGAAAATTTAAAGCAGGGCTGGGGATTTAGCTGAGTAGTTCCAGTGCCTGCCTTGCAAGCACAAGGACCTGAGTTCAATCCCCAGTAACCCCCCGCCAAAAAAAAAACCTAAAGCAGAGGAGGATGAAATTTTGAACACATCACCAAGAAACAGAAAGCTTCCAAGAGCGTGAAACAATCTCAAGAATTTGATCTGTGATTTCTTCTGCCTCCCCTTCCCTTGCAAGTGTGGTCCTCGGTGAGGAACCAGCCTACCTTGGGCTGAAACTCAGAAACCTCAGGCATTACTGTGGATAGGCTCCAGCTAACACTGGTGTGCATCACCTTAAACATCTGGCAGGGAATAACTGCAGCTGTGACATGAAGGAAGGACTCTGTTCTGTAGAGGAGAAAATGTTCAACATAATGGTTGAGAAAAGTAACACAAAGCAATTAACTTGTATTTTTTGTTTTGTTTTGAGACGCCTTTTTAAAATAGAATCATGAAATCTTGCAAGTCTAAAATTTTGGCTTAGCGTATTTAATCTGTCCATGCAGAAATAACGCCAACATTTAGAAATACTAGGGGAACAAACTGTAGCTTTTATAACAATTTTTTAAAGTTTGGTGTTAAAAAAACATTCAAATGTCAAAAAAAAATGTGAATGTTTGTTGGCTTTGCTGGGACAAATAATTTCAAATGCTGGAGTGGTGCTGGAGGTCCTTAAATCACACACACACACACACACACACACACACACACACATATATAAAACACATAACTATAGGAAAAAATGGAAAGTAGAAAACCAAATATCAAAAACTTAGTTAATAAAAAATTAAGGTTGGTCTTTAAGAAAAAAGGAAAGAAATAAAATTATAAGTGAAACAGGAAAATAGACTATTTTCAAAATTATGAGAGTACATTACACACACACACACACACGCACACACACACAGTTAAAATGTCTGCAACATGAAAGACTCCATAGACAAAATAACAAGTGAACTAGAAGGAAATATTTTTACACATATAAGAGTTTTAAAAAACCATAATTTCTAAGAGCTGCTATAAACCAAAAAAATCACATCTACAACTAAATTTATTAATTTACTTATTTTGTGGTATTTGGAATCAAACCCAGGGCCTCACACATTCCAGGCACTGTGCTACACCCCTAACCCCACAACCAAACTTTTAAAAGCACAGAAGGTGTGCACAGTGAATTCTTATAAAAAGGAGCAGTACACATTTGAAAGAATACTCACCCTACTCCCAATAGTAATCAGGAAAAATAAAAACAGTAAGACATTGCATTTACCCCCCAATTCAGCCAAAATTATAAAACGTGATAGTAAGTAGTTCTGGAAAGTCACTTTACACAGTGACGGGAGACGCACATCAATGGTAATTATCTGTGCGCACTGAAATTGCTGGCCCAGGGTTAGAGTGGAAGTGCAAGGTCCTGAGTTTCATCCCCAGTGCCAATAAATAAATAAACGTGTGGATCAGCTATTCCACTTTCAGAAATCTTAATAGAAATTGGGTTTTTGCAGCCAGGTGCGGCAGCACACGCCTGTCATCCCAGCTCTTGGGAGGGTGAGGCAGGAGGATTAAAGAGTTGGAGGTTAGTCTGAACTACATGGTGAGACCCTGCCTCAGAAACAAAAAAGAGACACCTGGATTTTTGTTTCTGTGGTGCAGGAACCTTGCAGAAATTCTTGTACATGGGCTGGGGATTTAGCTCAGTGGTTTGGTGCCTGCCTCACAAGCATGAGGACCCGAGTTCAATTCTAGTACCAAAAAAAAATAAAAAAAAATAACCAAAGAAATTCTTGCACTTGTGCACAAAGATTATGCGTAAAGACTCTCAATGAAGCTGTTTTTGTTTTTTAGTGAAAAAAGTTGACATTTTTTGTTTTTTTAATTTTGTTTTGCTTTTTGTTTTTGAGACGGTCTCTTTTTGCAGTACAGCCTGGCCTTTGAACTACTAGTCCAGGTGAGCTCCAACTCACTTTCCTGCCTCAGCCTCCCCAATAGCTGGGATTATAGGGTTCACCACCATGCCCAACTCTGTTCTTGTTTTTTTGTTTTTGGTATTGGGAATCGAACTCAGGACCTTGTTCTTGTGAGGCAGGCAGAGGAACCACTGAGCTAAAACCCCAACCCGGTCTTGTTTTTATAACTGTAAAAAATGTTATCTATCCACGTGATAACTTTTGTTTTGTTTTGTTTTGTTGAGACAGGGTCTCACTATGTAGTTGAGACTGAGCTGGAACTACTTAGATCAGGCTGGATTCGAAATCACAGAAATCCTCCTGCCTCAGCCTCCCGAGTGCTGGGATTACAGGTGTGCACCAGCAGACCTGGCTCACGTGATAACTTTTAATTAAATAAAAGAAAGGAAAACAGCATGGAAAGACATATTAAACGGTTACTCGTGTTAATCTTGGGGAACGGGGCAAGGGTAAGAGAAAGATTTTTAATTTTGTCTCTATGCTTTTTTTTTAAAGGCAAGTATTATGAAAGTTTTTATATAACTAAAAATTGTGATACTAGTACCAAAATTACAAAAATACTCTTTTAAGAAAAATGAAATGGGCCTCTATTGTCTACTCTGGTAATTTTTCAATCACAATAAAAAGTAAAATAGGATGACATTGATATTTTACCTGGTACTTTTCCAGTTCGCCTTCCTTACGACATAATTAGGAACTACTTTAAAAGAATGCCTTCCTCCTTTATGGAATATTACTACCTCAAAGTACACCTCCCAGATTGAGTACTAGCTCTACTGGCCTAAGAATTTCAGCAGCGCACCCCAAAGCGGCCTATTTCCTACCATCACAGCAGCCTGCAATTCCTGTCTCGTTTCAAGAGATTTTTTTGGGAAAATTGTCACATAACAAACGCAAAGCAGTTTTGTCCTGGGGTTGTGCACGTGACGGGGATGAGGGAAACGGGGTTAACTAAAGTCAGAGAGTACGAGGCCGCGGGGAGAAGGTGCGCCGCCCGGGCGCCCTCCGAGGCCGCGCAAAGGCGGCCAGGGCGGGAAGGGAACACAGGACGCGGAAGGAAAGGCGCTGCCGACGCCCGGCCAG